TCGTGAGATATATCTGGCAACTACATTCTGGGGACAGCTCTGAATGAGGCTGTTTCCTTTTCATCTTGAACTTGAGGTTCCTCTGAGGGCCCGAAGAGGAGCCCTCCAGGAACCAGGAATGAAATCGAGAGGCTCCAACTCTTAGTTATAAGGATCTTTTCTGAAGATTCTAGTTTTCCCTCAAACCAAAGCCACCTACAACTAAAAAAATAAATATTAAAAAAAAAAGTGCAGGGGCTGGGGTTGTGGCTCAGTGGTCAAGTGCTCACCTAGCATGTGCGAGGCCCTGGGTTCGATCCTCAGCACCACACACAAATAAGTAAAATAGAGGTATTGTGTCTAACTACAACTAAAAAATAAATATTTTTAAAAAGTTCTAATTTTTTTAAAAAGTGCAAAAAAAAAAAAAAAAAAAGACCCTCCATGATCTGGCCCTAAGAGCATCCTTAACTCGTATGCCTTAGTACACCTCTCCCTGGCCTCCTCTGCTGCATCTGTACCACTCGCCTTGCCGGTGCTCAGACAAGCCATTTGCATTGGCTGCTGCCTCCCCCCATGGTATCCACACATTGTAAGCCCTTACCCACTTTTCTTCTTTGTTCAAATGGCTCCTCTACAATGAAGCCATTACCACTGCTATTCGAAATTACAATCTTCTCTCATGACTACTTTTTTCATTTTTTCCAAAATGTTACCTTTCTAACACTAAAATGATGTACTTATTTATATTTATTGCATTTCAATCTCTCCAAGGAGAGATCCTAGAGCTTCACACACAGAAGGCCTTCAAACAAACTGTGTTGAATGTATAGAATGAAACTGCATAGCCTTCCTCAAATCCCAGAGATGGAGTGAGTTTCTTTTTTCTCTATATTAACTCTTTGATTATTCTTTTAGTCTTTTTATTATGAATTATTATCATTTATGTACCTGTCTTTTGCATTACCRAGCCATGATCTTTTGAACATTCTCACTACCTTTATTTGCAGAAACCAGTACAGTGTCTGTCATAAACCAAAAACATGCCAACTTAATGAATGTGCAAAGATGCTACACACACAGTTCCTTGACTCCAAATCTCTAGCTCTGCAAGTCAGTTATTGTTTCAAAGTCTCTTCCCAACCCCCACTGTAAATACATGTGCATACACACTCCACTAATTGAGATAATTTAAAACTATTTTTCACATATTTGCTTAATTAACTTGCAGTGACCTCTGCAGAAACACTGGCCTCTGATGATTGTAGGAGGTAGTCTTTTGGCATGGACACCAAAGCATCAGAGTCAGCTGGAACTAAGGAAAGCAATAACACAAACGGTTTTAATTACTCATGACAGGCAGCTGAATCTATGTGACACAGGCCTTCTCCCCAGTCCATCATTCAGAAAAGGCCAGTTACAGGAAATGGTGGAGAGGGAAAAAAAGAAGGGGCCACACTGTGTCCATAACACAAAGCAGATCGTCTTTCATATGCGCGACCTTATTCTTTCTGTTTAAGGTTTTTATGCTGGTCCCAAATCTATACAATGTCTGACCCACCAAGACTCATCATGCTTTTATGCTGGCTTTCAGGAGGTATAACTCCGATTTTTAAAAAAGGAGGCAGGTGAATACTGCAAGCATCCGTGAATCACTATGCAAACCCAGGGGTCCTGCAAAGTTCATGGAGAATCTCAGGCATGCTTGCAGTAAATCTGTGAAGTATACAGGTGAGCCTCTTCCACTTCTGTTCAACATTCACAGAAGGATTGACTTTATCTATAACAGAGTTTCTCTGGACCTGTTGCTCTATGGGAAATGGGTGAGGATTAGGATTCACTCTGTTATAATCTGCACCTAATTTTAACATGTCTTTCTTACCCAGTGTATGGCTCTGGGATGGCCATATCCTTGGGTTGGATGCTGATAAAAAAAGAGCAAGCAAGCTTCCCTACCTGAGCAGGATTTGACCTCAGGACCTGATCATGCTTTGGTTTCTCCCCACACTCTTGCCTGGTCGCTGAGCTCACCGGCCTTGTGTTTCTGGACATTTCCTCCTGGCTCTCACTGCTTGCTGTGTTTGGCCAGTGTTCTGCTCGTGGAACTTCAGAAGCCCTTGATTTTTCCYGCTGTGTTGCTGATTCCTATTCGATGCCTCTAGAAATCAAGACAGCCTGGGTGTATCTGCTTTTGACATCACCTTGCCTTCTTCCCGCAACAGTCTTGAGTTCCTGCAGTGTGATAAGGCCTGTGATAGAGACGGAGACTCTCATCACAGATACTCCTGCAAGGAGCTCAGGGTTTAATCGAGGAAATGGCACTAAGCAGATGATTATGATGCCGAGAGACATGTGCTATGACAGGATAAGCAGAGGATGGCACAGAACTGGGCACTTCCCCACCAGCTGGGCGCTGGGTGAAGGAAATTTCCAGAAGTCTGCAACATGGAGGGAATCTGGGCCAGAAAAAATAATGCAATATATTCTATGCTGAGGAAGTGATGTCTATTAATGTCCTAGGCCATATATCATGCTCCTTCAGGAACACAGTCAGGTATAGCTGCACGGGTACAGTAGTACAGGCTGGAGAGGGAAACCAGGGCCAGATCATGAGGCTTTCTAAGGTATTCTAAAGGCATGGAAGTCATGATACAGGTGATGGGGAATCACTGGCAGGTTCCATAATGAGCAGCAGTGTGCAGGATGGTTCCACCACCCAGCTATTCCCTTCCTTCCTTATCCTTCTCGGTTCTAAAGAGCCCAGCTCCACACCTCCTCCCCAACAGTGTCCTCAAGCAAAAATAATCCCAGCATCAATCTGAGGGCTTATTTAAAAAACACGAATTATCCCACTTCACAGAACCAAACCCTCCTGGGGATGAAGGCTGGGAATCTCTATTAATGAATCTCCCCAAATGATTCTGAGACAGCTGGACATGAACAGGTATTTGGGAACTAGTGAAGGCTACCACTTATGCCACTGGCTTGCAGATGTCCTGATAAACACAAGGAGGATTTGTCTTCCTAAATTAGACTGAAGACAGCTGGAGTAGGTCACCTAAATGTCTTCCTTCCACAGTATCTATCTACCTTCAAGGCCAGAAAAACCACTCTCCCGCCTGCACCTTTCCAGAACTTGTGTGTGTCCTTTGAGTAGCATGTCCACACTTCCACATGCTCAATGAGGCCACGTGATCTGGCTCTGGTTCCTCTCAAACCCCTGCTCTCTGTACCTTGTACCTATTCCTAAAAATATAGAGGGTGATGTTACACAATTTACTTCCAATCTCCACTTTCTCCATTAAATTAAGGATAGATGTGGAGTTGGGGGATTTGTGCAGAGCAATAAAGATCTAAGTGGAACAACTTAGGGAGGGAAACGGAGAAGGCCTCTGGCTTGCTCACCACCCACAGATGTCACCACCCACAGATGTAACCCTGCAGCCATACCTGCAGCTTCTAGGTGCTGTTATGGGCCAGGCTATATGGGCAAGGACCAAACAGACTCCATTTTACCCTGAGACTCCATAACATGGAAGAAATGCTTCTCCCGTGGGAAAGCGCCGCCTCTGTGCCCATTAATAGTTACCTAACATAACATACTTGGCAACACAAAATAGCAATCTTATACAATGTAAAATTGTTCTCTTTGCTTTCCCTTTTTCTTGGGCAATGTACCTTGTCAGAGATTGTCTAGACGTTAGTCACCATTCTCTAACTTGTACTCAACTAGGGTCATTTTGACCTACTTCCCTTCTGCTGGCTTGCTGCTATGCCAACCTGGAAAGTCCCATGGGAAATACCAGTGTACCCATTGCATGGTCTCGTTAACTGCCCAATTCAGCTTCTATACTGGCTTGCCTACATTGGCTAAACCCCCAAACGTCCCTATGGTGGTTTTTTGGCTCAAATATGAGGCCAAATAAAAGTGGGCACACCACTCTACTCCTTCTTTGGAGACCAGAGTGTCTGCCGCTGGCCAGCACTTAAGGCTTAATTGGAATGGCAATGTGTGGTCTGAGAGTTATTTAAGGGTCTCGGTATAGGTATAACAGTGCTACAAAAGGAGAAAGTTGAAAGACGAGAGAATTAAGTGTGCTGGTGTAAAAGAAATAGAAAATTCCCAGGACAGGCCGAAAAGCTCCAAAACTCATAGTGGGCTAAAGCACGGGCACCCAGTTTTATCCCACATAGGCTGACTGGTAATGGTTCACCATCTGACTCGGTCTGGCCTCTGGCTTGCTCACCACCCACAGATGCCAACTCATCTTGCGTGTATGTGACTCCAGGCTACAGTGAGTAACGGCCATACCTGGAGGTGCCCAGGTCAGAGGCGGTGACACCAATTTCCAGCACACTAGAGGAAATTACCCAGGTAGCTGTAAAGGTTCTGTAGGGACAGTCTTCCTCTTACGTTAGCGCCATGCCTTGGAATGTGATGTTTATGGTAGCTTAGCTGTACAGGAGCAGGCCTTCTTGACTTTAATTGGTTATCAGAATTTCATGGAAGACTCAACATATATCCAAACACATGAACTTCTACATGAAAATATTGGAATGTTTTAAAGACAAGAGCGGGAACATGTAAACATTCTGCTTATAAATATTAGGATTTTTCTTTTCGAAAGATTTTGGGTTATTTTTAAATTAACCCTCTGCCTTATGATAATCCAGCTAKTTCAATTCTAGGCTTTAGGCCATTTCTTTGTCCACTTCTTTTGATGCCTCTTTTCCCAGTGCGCCTTCATTTCAATCAAGGAACCAGGAGCAGCCGCAAGGGAACAGGCAGTGTTGGAAGTCAGTGGCTAAAATTAGATTTTCAATGACATTTACTTGTATGTTCTAGGCTGAAACTTCAGAGTACAGCACTTTCTCCTGAAAGGAGACACTTCCCCATCACTGCAATGCAGACTTCTGTTATCAAATTACATCCATATTACATCATTGGGTAACTGAGACCCCAAATAGAAAGTGAAACCATATACGTTTTCAGCCAAGAGAAGGGCTAAAGACAAAATTAATTGACATGTTTTCACAAGATTATTTACTCAGTGCCTTGTTAATTAGGGGGAGGTGTTTGTTCAAGAGAAGTAGTAGTATCAAGGAGGGAAGAAGAATAAAGTAACTGACCCCAGGGCAAGGAAGCGGGTGTCAGCTTTCTCTCACCCATGCTGGACAACTCTATTACACAAATAATCAGTGAGGAAGAGAGTTGAGAATTCATAAGTACTGTTTCCTTTTCTATTTTCATTCACACTTGTACAGGTGAGGTGTCTATAAGCTGTTTCTTATAGGGCTTTTCAGGATGTTCCCACTCCATCTTTCAGAAAGCCCATGGAGAGTCCGCGCATGTCCATTACAGCGTCTGCCCATCATTGTGTGCACATTAGAGTGTGCAATTATCCCACCAGTGAGTCCTGTACATACGACATCATCAACCATCACAGAGTGTGCCCACCGTCCTGTGCACACCAGAGTGTGCATTATTGCATTAGTGAAACCTGTACATACAGCATCATCAGTCATTTCCAGATGTGCATTGCATCCCTTCTCTCCATCTMTGTCTGCATTTCGGGGACACCCTGGAGGAGCTCCCCAGACCCAAAGCACCTCTACCCAGTGCAGGCGCTCATCCCCACTGACGCTCAGGAGTGTCTGTGGTTGTGCAGTGCAAACATCCACACTGGCACGCACTGCTCCGGAAAGCCCTCTTGCTTCTCCTGGCCCAGTACGGCCAGCCCACTCTTCCTAATGAGGCTCCGGAGGATGTCCATGTCCCGAGTCACACTGCTGTCGGACAGATCGAAGGTACAGCCCTCCCGGGCCACATTGTCCTTCAGTATGATGACACCATTTTCTTTCAGGCCATCTCGGCATCGGGAAAGAAATGCAAGAAGGTCCTTGTCAGTCAGGTAGCCTACAGGTGGGGCCCAGTTGATGGGAAATAGGATGAAACAGTGGGGAGGGAGGAGAGCAGGGAAGAACGCAAGGCTCAGTCACAGATTACTTAATAACCCAAGTTGTTGTAGTTGCAGGAGTCTTTGAAAATCTAGATGAAGAACACACACATCCTCTTTGCTCAAGTCCCTGTCTTTAAAGTACATATTATACTACCTGGCTTAACGACCTCACAAGCATGAGAGAGACACTGGCGTCTATTCCCTGAGTCCCTCCAATTTCCTTGGCCAACCCAACTCCACTGCCACTCCTTAGTGAATCCTGTGAGCATGCGTGCATGCACAGACACCCCTAATTCCCTGTTGTCTTGTTTACTAGGAATTTAAGTCTAAGAATGACTATTCTGCCCATATATGGGGATTAACCCTTTGGGGCCCACCTGTTAAATCTCTTCAAGTATTTATGTTTCTTCAAGGATTTAGGTTGTTGGTGTGAGGACACCTGCTCCATCCTCGTGGGTGGGGCGGAACTGTCCAGCTTGTACAGAGAACAGGGGAGAAATCTGGGAGCCGGGACTGTGGGGTTCTCCTGACACCCAGGGCTAGCTAACTGCTCTCGACACAAATACAGGGAAGACGCCCCTCGTGTGCTTGTGAGCCCCACGTCTGTCCTGTGCAGCTGAGAAGTGGGGAGGGCAGAGGCCAGGCCACACGAGACTAACCTGAGACCCACTGGATCCAGATGACGTCGTATCTGCCGCAGGGGGGCGTGAACTCCTGCAGGCCGTGGCAGTGGTAGCTCTCTACCTTGTCCGCTTTGACCTGCAGGTAGCTCTGGGCCTCAAGGAGGAAAGGCTCCATCATGTCCACCAGCTCCACGCTGTTGAAAACCGGCAGCAAGACGTGCTTGCTCACCCTTCCTATCCCAGAGCCACAGTCCAGGGCGCAGCCGGTTCCAGCTCTGCCGGGCCCCTGCGGGAAGATGCCTTGTGGGACACTCAAGTAGGGGATTCACCCCGAGCCTCAGACACTCCAATCGCCACTTTAGGTCAGCTGCATTTGTGTCAATTTTATTGGGTAAAATGTGCAACTTAATGTGTACAATTCAACACGTTCGGACAAATGGGAATAGCCAAGCACCCACTGCCACAGTCAAGATACAGAATATTTCATGGTTTCCCCCCCAAATCCAGACATTTCTAGTTCTACTTTATTTTACTCAAATATGGGTATTTAAAAGAATTGCAAACTTATTTTATTTTAAAATAATATCTAAGGTTTAAGCAATTGGTAATTCTCCCCAAGAAATGAGCCAACCCTGGCTCTATAAAGATAGAATTTTCATATCTACAATTTAGGTTAAACCGACAGCTAATGGGACCAGCACTGTAGGTGATTACTTTGTAAAATAGGGCGGAGGGGGGGAGCCAAACAGTGAGAGTCTCTCTTGAGTTTTAAAATTACTTTAAAAATTCATTCCATGAAAACATTCCAGTTCATATTGGGATAATTGAAATTTTATTTTTTCTAAACTGGATTTAGGGGGTAAATCTGGGGACCTTAGCTGGGAAATGCAATTGTCCCATTCTCTGGCCAGGATTTTATTTCAAATCCAGCCCCGATGGCACCCAGCATGTTGCTGTGAATGAAGGGTAATTTCAGCAGTCCCCTTTGATGCTAAAAATTGTGTTCTGCTTTTTGCACCAGAAGCATCAGGTTTACTGGGAACTTTTTTTAAAAGTAAGTTTGAATTAAATTAACTGAAGGTGAGTGGCCTAGGAGGTGGTGGGAGCAGGAAGTTAGCCAATGCAAACTTTCTCCAACTTGCTTCTATACAAATTTTTTTTTTAAGTTTTCTGATTTTTGAAGAGTCAGCTGGTCTAAATTATTTGGACATAACTGGGATGGATGCTAAATAGGTTTTGTGCTAGAAATCACAGTAACAAGATATGTGAAGTTACCTATCAAGGTCTTAAAAAGAAAGCCAATTCTTGATTTCTCAGGAACTAAGGGTAAAACAAAAACCTTTGGCTCTGGATCACAGATGTGGTACAGAGGAAATATCAAAAAATATGCCTTCCATTCCATCCAGAATGTTCCCCTTGTGCTAGAAAGGTTCAATGAAGAACAAAAAGTACAGCAATCATAGCTTCTTTTCAAATGGGATAGTGACCATCATAAGTTGATGTTTATATGTAGCAAACTGTATCTATAATCATTATAACTCCATAATACTCACTCCATTAGACGATTATTGTTGTGATGTTATTCTCTGGATATGAGGTGTTCCCCAAAAGCTCTTGTGAGTGTAGGAATATTCAGAGGTGAAATACTGGATTATAAAACCTGTAACCTAGTCCGCCCTAGTTTGAAGGGACTGACTGGATGGTAGCTGCAGGCAGGTGGGATTGGCTGGAGGATGTGGGTGGTTGGGGGCTGCCCTGGAAGGGCCATCTTCCCTGCTCTCTGTGATTCCTGGCCACCATGAGCAGCTTTCCTCCCCCAAGCCCTTTGGCTACGATGCTGCGCCTCACCTTGGGCCCAGGGCCATGGACTTGGGTGACCGTGGACCTCCCTCCTCTAAGTTTTTCTTGTTGGGTATTTTGGTCAGAGTAATAAAAAGCTGACTAACACACTGTAGATGAGAAAACTCAGGTTCCCAATATATGGCAGAACTGAATTTGAACAGGAACTGCCTGAATCCAAAGTCAGTTTTAGGAACATGAGGACATCACCTCAACTGGCAAGCTTTCTTCCCTTGGTAGTGTCTATGCAATGCTATATTCAGAATAACTGAGGCTTCTGCAAAACTCAGCAGGAAAGGGATCTACAATGATGAGTGGTGTCTGCCTTGAGGACAGGAAGGGGAGGTGGTGGTGCTCAGCCACGTGTTGTTGGTCATTTCTGCTGTGCTCCGCTGCCTTCCTCATTCAGAAGTGATGATTTAAACTAAATGAATTCAGGAAAAGGCCCAGACTAAAGGTCTGTGCTGTACATACCCAGCATGGTAAAGGCAGCATTTCTGAGTAACTTCCTAAGATGGGATAAAGTATAAGGAAATTACTTTAAGCTACCAGAAATGACTTTACTAGAAATGTATGTGCTCAATCAGCAATCCTCGTTACAAATTTATCTCCTAGCTACTTGGCTGTATGAGTCTACTGGTCATGTTGTTGTCATTAGTGGGGCAGGTGGTTTCAGAAGGAGAACTACGGAGCAATAAAGCCAAGAGACCTTAGAGATCCATGTCAGAGGATTTGACTAGAACAAGTGAACATCTGTTTTTCCATGAACAGAGAGACAGGAGGCTGCTCTGGTTCACGGGAGGTGGAGCCCTGCCACTCCACCTTCCCATAGCTCTCCAAGGAGCCCTTCAGAATCTCACTAAAATCCCGGGGCTTTAAAATCACGTGTTTCCTTCCTTTATTTCACACAAAGAAACTGAGGCAAAATGTTTGAAATAAACCTTCCTTGGAGATGGTCATCCTCTAAGTAGTGAAATCCATTTAGTACGTGAAATCTGAGCAGAGATTCTTGAAACTGTGGTCGTTTACAAACTCACAGGCTGTCCTTTCTCCCAGATGCTGTGCACCAGGCCTCCGGTGCAGTCGCCTGACTCTTTACTCTGCTTCCTGTGATACGGTTGGCACAATGTCTCATTCACAGGTAGCTCCTCTGAGAAGGAATGTTTAGAGCCTGAGCTCAGAGACTGTACCTCTGCTGTTGGACACGGTGGCTGCAGACGCTGTGATGGCGTTGGAATCTGATGCCCTTGGTGAATGCGGCCAGAGCTTTGCACAACACATGACCTCAGAAGGAGGTATTTTGGCATTTTCATTTTCATTTAATAGACTCTCTTTCACTTATGGATTCATAGAGAACAGTAAAATATGACTAGCGCTCTCATGTTACTTCTGATTCTGCCTCTGTATGTCGTTTCAAAGAACATTACTTTAAGCTCATCCAGTAGAATCTAGAACTCAAGTCAAAGCACTCCCTGGCACTGCTTAAAATCCATGAAATAACGGGGCAAAGAGGTGCACACCTGGAATGCCAGCAACTGGGGCTGCAGCGGAAGGATCCCAGGTTCAAGGCCAGCCTGGGCCACCGAGTGAGGCCTTGTCTCAAAAATATTTTTTTTTTTTTAAAAAAAGGGCTGGGGTATAGCTCAGTGGTAGAGCATTTACCTAGTATGTGTGAGGTCCTGGGTTCAATTCCTAGCACTACATACACACACACACACACACACACACACACACACACACACAAAAGAAATGAATTGTGATTTTTTAGTCATCCGATCTCTGTGAAATGTTTTTTTTTTTTAAAAAGTCATCAAATACTGATTTTTTAAAAATGAATTCCCCCTCCATAGACATCTAAACCTGAGGAAAGTTATCAGTTATGCCACTGATGTCATCTTGATACCCTGTGTCTATTTGCTAAAGTAAATACGTTTGAGAGTAGATTAAACACCTTTTCCCACCGTCCCATGTCACTGGGTGTTGAAAGGAAAGCAAGACTCTGAATTAAACAATCTGCCTTTTCTCGGTTGACACAAGAATAAATCATGTCAGATACTCCTATTCCTAAGTCCTTGTTTCTTGACCTGGATACTAATTTAGCAGATTATTAAGGTCAAAGTACTAAAAATATCATTCCTTAAAAAAGACTGTGTTTGTGCTTAGTGAGAGGTCACAGCTTTGCAATGAGCCTTGTCTGCTAAGAAGAGCTCCTTCTTATTTGAGAGGAGCAGTCTGTTCCTTTTCCAACATAAACACGCAAGCACAAGACACTTTCTTTTCCCAGGTCCTGGACGTGCTCAAGGGCTCTGTAGGACCAGCATCCCTGCGGTCAGCTTGGCATTCCACACAGAGTGACAAGACAGCTGGATTACTAACTAAGCTTCTGAAATGCTTCAGGATCAAAGTCGGCCTCACCACCAGGCGAGCAGGARCAATTGCTTTGGGCCAGACTGGAGAGGTGAGGTTTCTCTGGTCCATGGAAAAAAAAGCAAGGATTTTTCTACTTTGCAAGACAAATGGAAAAAATATGTCAGAGTTAAGAGCAGACAGTTTGGTGTCAGACAGATCTGGCTGGGCTTAGTGTCAGCTCTGTCTCTTACCAGTGTGTAACCTTGACAACTTATTTAACCTTCTCAGCCTCAGTTTCCACAACCATAAAAATGAGCTAGGACAGTCCTTACTTTAAGAACTGCTGTGGAGAGTAAAGAGGACAGAGCTTCTACAGTGCTTGGCAGAGTGACTGACCATCTTAGAACAGACTTCTGTGAAGTGGGTCAGAAACACTGACGTGGTGGGCCTGACCTTCATCTCTGCACATCCTAGTCCTTTCTGATTGTAGCTACGGTCCAGACAGACACTTTGGCCCCAGGAAATGTTCCACCCTCATCACATTTTCTCTACCACCAGGCTTGGGACCTGGGTGTTCCAGGAGCTAGAGGTGACACAAACCTAGTGACAACACCATGCTTCCAAGTAGGTCAACAGCCTAACTCCAAAACTGAATATCCACGGTGTTTCCTCTATGGGAACAAAATGGGGTCAGAATTGCAAACCTATGACTTTGTAGTGAATTGGAACAAGCATCATTTGCAAATGGTCTTATCCTCAGTAGGACCAAAAGCAGCTTTACTGGGTGGGTGAAGTCTACCCTCACAACTACACAAAGTTCCTTATTAAACACATTCCATAACGTCTTGTTAGTAGTTGCAGCAGTAAGTTAGATGGAGTGGGTACTCATTTTGTGAACTAAAGCAGGAACTTTACAGGTATGAGCTCATTTGATCTTCACATTCTTCTATGAAGCAGATTCTGTGGTCATGCCTGAGTCACAAATTTAAGTAACAAGCCCAGGATTGCTTCTGCATTAAGTAGGAGAACTTCAATGACTGTAGAGCCCAAGGTTTGATCCTTATACTCTACAATTTCCATAGGACCTGGACATAGGGCAGTGGAGGCTCACCCCAAACCAGACTACAAAGGGATCATGTTCTTTCAAGGAGAAATCTGTACTATGTAAAAAAAAAAAAATCATACAAAGAGATTCTGCCATCCTTACTATTAAACTGAACATAAGCGTACATTTCTTTTCTACAACCAATTTGTTATTATGGGAAATTCAATAAATCAACCCAAGCTCCCAAAGGTATATCTCATTATTTATCTGGATGTCAACTTTTTATTGCTGAGATGTTTAAGAAATGTCTTCTTAATCCTCAAATGCAGTATCAGCACTGCAGGTTCACCTTCCCTTGAAGCATGTAAGATTAGCTAATGCTAGGAGGGCAAAATGTCCAGTGGGACAAGCCAGGAGTCTGATGAAGTCCATCCTTTGTGAACGTCTTAAGACAGGCTGAACTCAGCTGAGCCCACGGCTTTAACCTGACTAAATTTACCACACAGAAGCACTTGAGCTCAGTATTGGCAGGGACTTTGCCCTCTCATCAAGCTGCAGTTAGATAACTCACCCCAACAAATTTCCTAAGAAATTCCCGAGAGGCCTGGATATCTGGGCTGGAGAGTTCAATGAAGTTCCCCATCATGCCTTCTTCTGTGGCTGGCACTTCTTGATAGAAAAGTTTAGCTCTAGCATAGAACTGCATCTCGCCATTGATGACTTGGCTTGTTAAGGCATACAACTTTACTGCAAGTGAAACATTATTAATAGTCATTATATCATAGAACAACTCCGTCTTATTGTGCACTGAAATTCCTCTTTAAAGACTGTGAATTTGTGTGTGGAAGAAGGAGCACTGGAGTGAAGTCAGAGGATCTGGGTTTGAGCTCTGTCTGGTTCAATGATTTACATGCTATATAATACGGGGAGACTTCTAAAACTCTGTGACCTCAGGAGATTTCATCTGTCAATCACAGGTGACATTTTCATTAATGAGTAACTCTGTCATTTAATAAACACAGTTACCATTGTGTTTTTGAAGTTTAACAGTTTTTTGGCTGCAGTAAAAATTTCATCAGTTTCATGGTGAGTTTTATCTCTAAGTTCAAATGTTTTATGATAATTTTCCTCACTAGTTCTTGCTTCTAATCACAAAGCAGAGGTAAATCATTTTCGTTTCTTTTTAAAGCAACACATATCCCAATATGTCTTTGTACCCACCTTACAGAAATGTAGTTGAGCTCTACCTTCTGAAAATAAAATGCAGAAAGAAACAATATCTATTGAGCAGCTATTCTGTACCCTAGGCACACTGTCATTTCATTATTTCAAAACACACAAGGTATTATTTTAAGACATTTATTTTTGGAAAAACATGTGCTCTAACTTCCAAGCCATGAATGAGAATGCATTTATGTGTGTTTTATCAACCAAAATTCACCCATACAGATATAAAATATTTTCATTAGAGGATATTCAAAAAGAAATGATTGAAAATGGATGAAAGGGAAGAACTTTCAATTCAAGATTGCAGACCAAGTATACACATTTGTCTTCTGTGCCTCCAATACTCCCCGAGAAGTTTTGAACTACAGTAATTCCACTTAGTGAAGAAAATGAGAGGGGATCACTGATGGATTCATAATTTCAATGAATTTATGAAAGGAAAAAATCAGATAGAATAAAGCTCAATAATTTGCACATCAAAATAGTTGCAAGAGGAAATTACATTCCAGATTTACAGCCAATCAGAGGGAAGTGTAAGAATAGGAGTGAAAGTTGAAAAAATAATAATTAATCAAAAGCCTATCTACAGAACAACTAGGTGAGGGGACAAATGCACCGCTTAAACACAACAGGCAATACATCTGCCTTCACCATGGAAAAATATGTCTCTTCTCTAAAAATACAAAAATAAATAAATTGCTTAGGAAAAACGAAACTAGCTTTTAGCATCAGAATCCTAGAACTCTACTTGCTTTGGTATGTAGAAGACTCCACATGCCTCACACTCAGCAGAGTTTGATAAGGGCTACCTGCACATGTGGAGTTTCATGTCACCTTTCTATTTTTGAGATGATTACACAGCAGAGGAAACCTTATTCATTACCTTGTCATGTATTCCTACATGTAGATAAACAATGATCTCCAAACTCATGAGAGTAAAATGTCAGCCTGAAAGAAAAAGATTCAGATAAATCATCAGAATTGACCCAAAAGGAAATAGAAGTGATTCAAGAAGTGGATAAGAATTTAAGTCAAAACACAACCAAAATCTCATATGTCTTTGAAGAAACATAAGAACCGGTGCATTCATCATTCCAAGATAAGATCCAAAAAAGAAAATGACAATGATAATTCAAAGAATAAAAAGGAATTCTTAGAAATTAAAGTTTTGGAATATTGGATACATTTCCAGAACATAAAACAGAAGGACAGATATGAAAACAGAAGTAAAAAGACAAATGTATAAACCTACAAAGACTTAATTCAAGCTAAGTAAGATAAAATTGTTTTAAAAGGAAATTAATAAAATAGAGGAACAAGAGCAACTAAAGACAAATACTAGAAGAAAACTTTCCAGACTGAAAAAGATTATAAGATCCAACAAGTGTTGAGCAGCATAGCTTTTTGAAAAAGCAACGTTTACATTTGTCCTGAAGAAATTTCAAAACAGAAAGAATAATAATAAGATCCTAAAGCCATTTTGAGGGGTAAAATTGGTTGATCTTCAATTTTTCCCAGATATAGCAAATAAAAATATAGTACTCACAGTTCTATTTGATTTTTTGATAAACAATAAGTAATTAGTATTTTAGAGAACACGATCCTATGTTCAAAAAATTGAGACCAGGCTTATACCACAAATCTTATCAGAAATGCTAGATAACAATGATAAAATGCCATCAATACTCTGAAGAAAAATTATTTTGAAAAAAACTTTAATACCCAGTTAAACTATCAAAAGAATATTTACCTCCCATGGATTCATCCTTCCAAAGTTTCTTGAAGTTATATTCTAGACCAATTAGGGTTAAAATCAAGAGAAGACACATGATGAAAGATGATGTAATTAACCCAGGAATACCCAAATGACAGCTGTTTATCAAATCTGGAAAGAAATCAGTTTACATTACAAGAGAAAGACTGGATTCTAGGCAATAGAGAGAGTAGGAAAAAAGCAAGGAGACATCAGTATTATTCTAAGGAAGATGTGTTTTTATATCAGTCACCAAAAATTTTAAAAAAGCAGTTGAAAACTCTAAGCAAAACACTTAGATTCAAAAATGTTATGATCATGGTATGAAGCAAAGCAAAATATGAGATAATTTTGAGAAGAGGAAATCAAAGAAAAAATCTATTAAACCTTAACTAACAATATTTTTTCTTTAGATAACCCCAAAATTGTGATATTCAACTAGTGTATTAATTGCTTCTAAACTGAACAACTTAAATTCAAGAGTCAATTGAAAATTGATTTTAAAGGTTAAAAATCCAATAAACACCACTTATATCACTGTGACTATGTTCCACCTTTGGATTTACACCAGCATTTTCCAACTTAAGTACRCTGGAGCCATATTTGAACCCTTAGTGACCTTGAATTTGCTGGAAGAGTTGCAAGAATCCGAATCCAGGTATGCCATTTTCTGGAGACTAACAATATTACTTGCTGTCTCCCCCACACATGTTGGCTACTGTGCATAAAAAGTCATTTTAAAAATACAAATCTTTAAGAAGTTTTAACAAATATAGAAGGCTTCTGCCACTTTATATACAAATTAGCTACTGATTGAGAGAACACATTAGAAGTAGGATCCTCCAGTTCAAAAACAGAGAGAACTACTGACCAATACCAATCCCCCTTCCTAGCAATTGGTAGTGTGTAAATAGCAGGTAGSTCAATAAATGCTTATAAACCCCAAAGGATGTCAAAAACAGGCAGGCATTGCCATCCTAATAATATGACTGTTACAAATTCCTGATATCTCACAAAAATCATGCTGGAAAAGTACAGCTCCCAGATTCTGCCCAAGGTTGAATGCTGCTGCTCTGGGGCCCCTGACAAGCCACAGTCCAGGGCTCTCCTTTATCCAAGCAAAGCTCCAAGCAGCCACACTCATCATCACCTGTGAAGTCCACTAGTTGGTGCAGTCTATTAAAAACTTTTATCTGGAAATGGGAATGGTCCATTATGCCAGCAACCTTTAGACCACAAGTGACTGCCAAGCTCAGCAGGTGTCAGCCTCAATAGGTGGGCTTTTATGGTTCTCATTTTCACCTAATTGACAGGTGCATTTCACTAAAAAAGATATATGAGGTGTCACAGGGAGTCCCAAGTTCTCCCCTTCTGATATCTGTGCATGTTGACTCAGATAAGGCAATTGGTCAATAGGTCTGCCTTTAAATATGGAAATGCATGTAATGGCTTGTTCTCGCAGCATTGTAATGCTTTTGTGAAATGTGGGGTACTCTAAGACAGAGACTAGACACTATTATTCCTTGGTATAACATGATACTTATTTCTTGACTTACATTACAAACCGAACTCCCAAGGACAAAAACAGAGAACACATTCATTTGCTCTGAAAGAGAAAAAGGATTTTGTGAAATTTCTAGGAAAGGTGACTATCCAAGAGGATGTTCAGCAAGAGTCAGTTCATCTATGACTTAGTTGTAAAGCACCAATACAACCCTCAAGAAACAGGAGACAAAGCCCAATCCCTCTCTCATGGAGATTACAAACTAGAAAGGGGCAGTTGAGTTACACATCACTACGTGCCCAGTGAATGGTACAAGCACTAGTAGTCTTGGGGGATCAGAGATGCCTGCAAGTAGGAGCAGTTAGGGAAAGATTCCAAAAGACCTCAGCCACCAAGGATGATTTTATTTGGGCTAGCAAAAAGTTACAAGGAAAGGCATTTCACCCAGTGTGGATATGTGGATAAAATATAGAATCTTCTATTCTTGTCAAATAAAAGCCTATGGAAACACTTTCACTGCTGCCCACATTTGTCACATTTCCACTTACACTGGGAGGTGGTGTGAGTAGGGAGTGGTTAACAACGAGTCTGCGGTGGCCACCTGGGTTCTAGACCTGCTCTGCTCTCACCACCGTGATTCTCTTGCACATGACCTCACTCCCCTGTGCATCAGCTCCTCAAACAGAGATGTGGGAAATAACAGCACACCGACAGGGATGTTGTGAAGGTGAACTGAGACAGTAGATGCAAAACACCGGAAATAGTGATAAGTGTGTGTCCCTCTTCCTGAATTCTGTTTTGGTCACAGGCAATGCAGAATCATCCATTGGAGACTTTCAGTACCAATGTCTTTGCTGTTCCATGAGTCTCTGAAGCCAGCCAGGGATGGTCAGCAAATTCCCCCGTGACTGAACATGGCCACAGGGCGGGCTAAAGTGAGACTGGCCCAGGCGGGGTGGGGGGCGGGGTGTGGGGAGGAAGGAAAGCAGGAGTCAAAGGGTCTGGTTAGCCGCAGTTCTTTCCATAATTACCGCAAACAACAAACTCTCTGTGCAGACTCTCCAGGAGGAGTTCCCCAACCTTTTTGAAAGAAGGGCTTTATTTTCATTTCTAAGAAGTCTTGAAATCATCAAGAGTAGGGGAAGCCAACTCTAAAACACCTCAGCAGAGCAGGGGAGGGAGCATCTCGGCCGGCTAAGTTTTATTTCCAACCTGAAAAGCATAATATCCGCTCCAGCCTGCAAACTCTCATATATTGAATTAAGTTTATTGTCTTTGGTAATGTCTGTTCCAGAAAAGGCTACATGGTGACTTTAAAAAAGGCCTGGCTCAGGGGAAGAAAGGGGCAAAACTAATAGTTACTGAAGATTGATGACTTTCACATATATATGGCATTTAATCCTTCTTCCGACACTTTTGAGGAAAATGATGCTCATAGACTTTAGAAAATGACAGAGCTTACTTCTCCACTAGTAACAGTGCAAGAATGTGAATTCAGGACTTCAGTATCTGCAATTAATTGTTATATGAGGCCATTTAATTCATATAACAGATATATACTGAGTTATTTCTACGTTCTAGGAACTATGGTAAATGCTAAATACACAGACCTGGAAGAGAAACAAACAGATGATCCTCCAATCTCATGAGATCTAGAGTCCAATAGAGGAACCAGTATATGCAAACACATCCCATAAGTATCAGTTATAACCTCCTAAAACCAAACACAAGGATTAAGAGAGTTAATTGGGTAGGGCAGACTCCTAATTGCCTATAAGTTGACACTGGCAGATGGGACTTGCAAGATGATTCCTTTCTGAACATTCAGGCTCTGCCATGAGAAGAAAAAACTGAAAAAGTCTATTCATCTATTCTGAGAGCTGATAGTTTGCCTTCCTTGCACCCTTAATTTAAAAATTTTGAGAATAAACTTAAGAATAAATAAATAAAATAAATTTGTAGGATTGCTTCCATTATTAGATTATAAAACCATAAAAAAGAGAAATTACATATCTTATTAATATTTGAATCTTGCCCAGTACAAGTAAATTTTACAATAATAAGAATTCCATAAAATATCTCTTACATTAAATGTACCTGAATTGATTATGAAGAAGCATCTGATGTTTCCATCTCTAAAGAGCCAAGTTTCTGCCTTGTAGCGGAAACATGGAATGACAAAATAGACAGAGTCCCATGGAACTGAGCAGTGGACTCCAAACAGATGTGATATACCTCCTTTGGGGTCAAAGTATTGAAAGTGAGTAGAGAAGCTTTCAGCTGCTCTTTCCCTTTGCCTCATTAACTACAACGATGTAGCTGATGGAGACTCCATCATCCTGGATTCCTGCATGCCTAAGTGGAATACAGCCTGCCCACCACAATGATGCATATTGAAGTGACGAAGCAAGAGTAGATGTGTTTGGCCATTGAGATGTCAGGGTTCCTTTGTTATCGCAGTGTAGCCTAGTCCTTACCAACTAATAGACTCCTCCATGTCTATAATCAGAGATATTGTGGGTAGGGCTCACTCAGTGGCTCTCAGGGAAACTAATGCCTAGGCCGAACTATCAGAGAAAATAAGCAGTGTTCATTCATGGAAAATGGAAACTAAGGMATATGAAATCAACTTTGGCTTGGAGTAGACTAATGGTATTCAAACTGTCATGGAACACTATAATTACCCTCAGAGTGTCTCAGAAGCCAATGGTGTGACAAAGAGGATAGGACAAGAAGAGGACCCTGCATCTAATCCTAAGCAGAAAATTTTAACTTTTTCCTTTGTTATTCTTTCCAAGGAATATTTTATCAAAATATTGATTTTTTAAAAAAAAGATTAGAAATTATTGGCAAAACATCAGCACTTTCACAAGGAGAAAAACAGACAAAATCAAAATGACCATAAAACCAAAAGGATTATATTGGGTAAAAAGGATGAGAGCCAAATACAAATTACAATCTACTTGTCCCAAATTAATCGTCATCCAATTTTTCCTAGAGATTGTTCTGTTCTTAAGTCACCTTCCATTACTTGCAAAGACAGGTTCTTTTTCTCTCTAGTAATTATTTTTAAAGTGTGGCCATCACCTGCCCTCTAGTGAGTCTCTTCTTGGTTATAATTGATGCTTTATCCATTCTAACACAACCACAGCTACCAAACTGCTTTTACTGGGGTACAGCCCCAGGAAAGCAATGCTGTCAATATATAGAGGGACCAGGACATAATCACCTTCTCGTCTTCCCATTTGGATACAGATGAGATGTACTATATGTGTAAAATAATTACTTGTGGCAGTGTGATCTAGCAGAAAGAGCCCTGGGCTTCAGTTTTTGCTTTGGTATTGCTCTCTCCAGATTAGAACTTATCATCTCTGAACTTTCTTTCCCTTGCTGGAAAAAATAAAATAAAATTGGAGAAGGAGATGGGAAAATGAGAAGAAAAAATAGTAATATTTACCCTATCTATGTACAYTATGATAATCAAATGAAGTCAGATGAGTAAACACTTTGAAGAGAAAGCTCTATAAATACGAGATGAAGGTATTTATATGTCTAGAATTAATGATTCCTCAGAAACGGGGGTATAAAAGGAGACTTTGGTCGACTACTAACATGTTGTTTATTGAATGTAATACAAAGAATTATGTAGCCCTTTCCATAGCTGGAAACCCTGACCACATCCCGTGCACAATGGGGCTTTCACACAACCTTAAGAAAACAGACTGGGGCTGAGACACAGTGGTCCTGCTTTCTTTGGGAGAAAATATAAACCAAGGAAGGGGCGTGGGTGGGGGGTGGCCCTTCTCTCTAATTGTAAGCTGTTTCCTCCTCCAGGCAGTTTGGAGTGCCCTGCAGTAACCACCTGCACAGAGGCTGCCCAACAGGAGCCTCGATGAAGCAGATAAGCTCTCTACTGCTCCACTCTCAGATTCCCCGAAACCTGGAGGAAATCACGAAAATGGAATCAGATGACTGCCCAGGTTTTCTTCTTAATATTCAAAGACCAATCTAAAATGTTCTCCTGTTAGGCTCTCCAATGAGACTCAGGAAGGCCAGAGTGGATTACACACACACACTCACACCCACACGCACGCACACACGCACACACACCAAGCACATTTTCATCTATTATTGTTTGTCTCTTTTTAACTCTTACTGTATATACTCTTGAATATATGTGTGTGTGTGTGTGTGTATATATATATATACACTCTCATCTTTGAGTTACCAAATTTGTCTACCTCAAAACTTTTGCAAATATTAAAATGATCTGTCAAAACTCAAGAAGTGAGTTTCTATGAGCCTGGAGTACAGTCAGCTGACACCAACAGAAGCAAATCACTGTGCCTGAAGGTGCATGGAAAGCCCAAAATAGAGTCCTGCTTATCAGGCGGCACTTGATCTTTGCCTCTCTGTACAAGAATGTCATTGAAACGTGTCATCCCTTGACACTGGCTACAATTCTTTCCTCCTTCTAGTGTCTCTTCCAGGTGTCCCACAACCTCACATTGTCCCTTCAGTCATTCCTTGTCCCTTATCTGGCAGCTCTGACTCACTTACCCAGGGGAATTTTCTCCAGCAGGTAGAGGTAGCTCTGAAAGAAGTCATTGCGAATGGCTCGGTGAAGGATGAAGGACATGCTGTGCCGGCAGAGTTCACCATCGGTCTTCTGCCAGCGGGATCTAAAGGCAAAATGGGCTCCCAGATGGGCCATGGAGGAGCAGGGCAATGACGACTTCTGAAGAGAAAGAAAGCTTGTCTGGCTGTTTCTTTGAATTAGCCTTCTCTTCCTAAAAGAACTTGAGACTGTCATTTTAAACCAGTCCCCTGTCCATCTATATCAGGACAGTCTGTCATGGGGTGTGGGGGAAGGGCAGCAAACACGGGGAGGGCAGGCTCCTGGCTCAGACTCCCTCTGATTGCTTGGGCGACACCACTCCAAGCCAGCAGGTGCTAAGATGAAAACAGGCTGCGTGAGATCCTGCTCCATCCGGGGAAAAGCACGCTTCCCTTCGTTAGCTGTTGCTTCAAACAGGCTCCAGGACAGCCTGCCAACACCCCGAATATTTGCTTTAATTTGATTCCTAAATTGAAATAGCCTAATTTCCATTTCAAAGAGTTGTGAATATTTTGCAGGAGATCCTATTCCCTGATTTCCATTGCTCCTCCTGGAACACTGCGTCCTCAAGTTACAAGGTCCCTTTCAAAGTCATCTTAGCCACTCAGATTCCTTTCATCAGTACAATTTTCCCCAAATCACTTCATAGAGATGGATATGTRTTTCATATTTTTAAGGCTCTTCAAGAGATGCAATTATTTGAAAGCCTGTTTTGATGTCAGATACCCTGCTCTATCAGCAAGCTCTTGCATTTATTCTAAACAACCCTACCCACAGGCCTCTCTGCCCAACGTGGGTATGATTTCCTCCAGAGTGCATTTGTTTTCTGGACTGCCTTCATTGTCCCTCCATACCTACTCTCCACACCTTCACTTCACTCTGTGCCCAGGAGGCTGACCTTCAGGCTACATCAGCGGACACCCTACTCTGCCTCCTAGCTGGGTTCAGCCCGCAGACAGTCCCCTTGGCACCTTTCCTGCAGARAGGCCATAGGCTCACCACATGTTTTAACAGAAAGGCATAGCTAGCTCCTGCTGGGGTCTGCTCATGCAAATACTCTCTCCTGGTTCTGATCCTTTCTCCTTCACCTTATTGCTTGAGTGTCAGTGACATGGCTGTCCACCTGCAAGCCGAAGAGCAGGCCTGCTGCTCCCTGCGGAGAAGATGCAGAGGAGCCCAGGAGCGCTGGAGCAGCGAGAGGGGCAGCCGGGTGGGTTGGAGCACAGGCGCAAGCACGCCCTGGCCTGTGGAGCCCGGCAAGCAGGCACAGCCACCCAGAGCCCAGGCCAGCCAAGGTGCGCCGACCTGTCACCCTTGGGCCACCAGACCTGGGCACTGTTCAGCTCCATGCAGCGCTGCAGCCTGGAACCCGGGAGCACAGACCACCCGGCCACCTCAACCTCCCACTTCCTGACCTGCGTGGAGAAAATGGAAGTGGGGCTGAATGGAAGTCGGGACTCAAGAATTGGCCAACGGCATTAGCACCTTTCTAAACTCTAATTAGCATAGGTTTGCACCAATAGCAGTAATCCAATTGCTACATAAAATCCTAGCGCACCGTGGATGGAGAAAGCGAGCTGTTGGGACTCTGTTTTGTACTGCAAGAGTTCTGTTCCTGCTTCCGTTTTTCAGTAAATCCTTCGGTTACACTCATCTTCTTGTTCCAGGAGGTAAGAACCCAAAAAAGAAGTTGACGGTGAGCTGTTGGGGCCTACTCTTGACAGCTATAACACTTCTTAGCTGCTAGAGGTCTCCAAACTTACACAAACCCCACGTGCCAGCAGAAGTAGGGAATCGAGTTTTATCTCAAAAATTCTTTTATCAGGCTGTTAGGAACTCACTGTCTTGTGATTTACCTAGACTTTCCCCTTTCTTTGGAAGTAGTTCTTGGTGATCCAGCTCACATTATCTACTTGTGATTGTCATTTGCTGCCTTCAGGGACCATGACTACTGTTTTACTCCTGCAATGTTCCTAGTAGAAAAATCCATATGCACTCAAGGTGCTGTTAGCACCGTACCCTGTGCACTCTCCGACTCTCGGAATGTACATGTGTACAAGCCATATAAATCACACATTATTGTCGGCATCTTCTAAGACGACCCCTATATAGTCAGTTCAGGCTCCTGTAACATATCACAAGAGTCTGGGGGACACAAACAGCAAACATTTATTTCTCACATTTCTGGAAGCTGGGAAGTCCAAGWCCAACGTGGAGGCAGATCCCATGTTTAGCGAGGACCATCTTCTTGGTTTGCAAATGGCTCCCTTCTTGTGGTATGTTCACATGGTGGAGAACAGAGTGAAATCAAGCTCTGGTCTCTCTAAAAGCCCACCCATAATGGCTCCACCCTTATCTCTTTAATTTCTTCCCAAGGCATCATCTCCACATCCCATCACATAAGGGGTTAGATTTTTCCATGTAGGAATTTTGAGGGAATATATACATTCAGCCTTCATCCCCCCTAAAAACCCTTGTTTCCTCCTGCCTCTCTGTTCATGCCTTTCTGCCACCCTCTCCTGGAAGAAAGTCCAGCGGGACTGACTGGCTCAACTCTAAAGGATAATAAATGGCACAAGTGACAGGATGTGGCTTTCCAGATGAGGTTATATAAAGGCTGCCTTCAGCATCTTATTTCTCTCCCCCTCTCCTCACACYGCCATCCCGCCTTCTCTCTTATTTGCTCTAAGGAAAGCTGGCTGCCTGTTAAGGCCCCACAGAGAGCCACAKGCCAAGGATCTGCCTTCCTCATGGAACAGCCTGAGTGGAACTGAATCGACCAACGACCATGTGAGTGAGCTCAGAAGCCACAACCAATTGTTCAGCAACAACCTGATGAGAGACCCTGAGCCAGCTAAGCCACACCCAATTTATTAACCCACCAAACTGTTTTTATTCTTTAAAGCATTTAAATTTGAGGATAATTTGGCACAATGCACCCATGGATAATTTATGTATCATCCTTGAAATATTTTGAAGATGTGACATCTCACCCTAATCTTCCCTTAAGTTTCACATATGTGTTAATCTTTTACTGGAAAGGGGAGTGGAGAGTCTGTTTGACTCGGATTTATTTTCCTTCATTTTTCTAAGCTTCTGTATTCCCATTTGCCCCTGTTCCCAGATGAAGAGACAGCCATTCAATTTTAGTGGAATTGCCCCCATCTTCTGGCCTCAAGAATTGCCCAGGTTATAAAGTGAGTCATCAACTTTCCTCTGTCCCTTTGTGGTTCATGGATAGATGCATCGCTCAGGCCTGAGCCAATCAACACACAGTCTCTTCCCCCTGGCTCTAGTTTTCATCTGGGAGTGGGCACATCATCTAAGCCTGTTATTGCTAATGTCAGCTTGAATTGGGTTTTGTTTTGTTTTGTGCTAACAACACAGAGTACTATCTAATGCAAATAATATCCAGCATCCTATTTACTCAGGACATTCTCATAAGAATAGAAATTGAATAGATATCAAACTGAATAGAAATTTCAAGTGGGATTATTTCATAGTGTAAGAAGGCTGGCTCTTAGCTGGAATGAAACAGATGTGACTGAGTTAGAAATGCATTTCCACCATTTTTATCTCGGGTAACCTTGATAAATTAATTTCTTAGTCCATCTGGCCTCACTTTCCTCTTCWGTAAAATGAAAATGTTKTATCTTGTCTGACTGTTGTGAGAATTAAATAAAATACTCCATGTGAGACACCACCCCGTGCCTAGCACACAGCACATGGCCAGCAAGTGCTGGCTAGTGTCATTCCAATCTTTGGAAGAAAGCTGATAAAAAATTACAGGCTCTCCATTCACAACATACCCAGGAGATTATTTGTACTTGGTGCATTAAAGAATGGAAAAGAAAGACATCTAAAGGAAGTGAGCTGTTGGAGCCCATGCTTCTGCCCTTTGGCATTTTCTGTCTTATGGGAAAGCTAAGTAGAAGATGGCTTGGTATTCTCCTTGTGCCTAACTGGAGGCTGGTTCTTAACCCCAGTGACTTAGCTATGTTTTGATAACCCCTCCTATGGGGAAGGGTCAGGATGTTTGGTCCTAGGAGAGGACTGACCGACTCCCGMTACTCAGTACTGCTTATTTGGCAATTGATATTGGCATGTTTCTCGGTTTTTACACAACTAATTTTCTCCCACTATAAATTGGACATTAATTATTTGTGTTTGGACAAGGATTATTAAGTGTTCTACAATCTTTACATTTCAGGCCTATAATTCCTGACAGGGGTGAAAGACTGGTTGATACAAAACGGCTTTGTCAAATTGTGTTTGTTTCTGTAGGTCACATTAGATTTTGCGGCTCTTTCTCATAGCGACATGGTCTGAACCAGTTTCTGGCTCATTGCATTTGTTTCCTTAAGATTAGAATTTTTCTCTCACACTGAAATGCTCTATTTGCTGCCACCCCGCACCATTCTTGGCCACATTCATGCCAAGTGAGGTGATAGAGATCTCATGTCTAACACAAGCATCCAGTTTCCAGGCAGGATAGGAAAACAATGAATGCAGGAAAAGAAAAACGATGCAGCCAAACAAAGTAGAAACTCCGAATTTACCAATCCTGGTTTGCCTTCTCACAGTGGATCCCTGGGTGGGGGATGACGACTGTTAAAAACCAACGATCAGGGAGAGAGACTCAGAAGTAAGGAGAATAAGGAAGAAAAGCTGTGTAAAAAGCATACTCCTCAGGTGATGTGGTAAAATAAATATTTGTGGAAATTCACTCGGTGTGAAATACACATCAATTAAAATTTCATAAGGCTTTAAACAGAAATTCAACAAACAGGAGGAAATAAGGGTATTTTCAGTCAAAGAGAATTTACCATTTCAGAGGCTCACTGGAAGAATGACTATAAAACCCACTTCAGGAAAAAAAAAATTGAGGCAGAAGAATAGGTTAAAAGATCAACAACACAGAGCACAGAGCCCCCAAATAAATCTATTCACGTGTTGTAACGTGATAGAAGACAGAGACAAGATATTCTCAATAAAGGTCTTGGTGTTGGCATACTGGGATTCCTGACTGACATCACGTCATTCACGACCCTATCCCAGGTAGATTCGAGATTTAAATATGAGAAGTCAAATTCCAAAACTCTTTGAACACATTTAAAGAAATATCTTTATGTAAAAAAATGTATAGTCTTTCTTAATATGAGAAAACAAAAGCCATAAAGAGTAATCAATTTGACGATTTAAAATTAGAATAA